AGACCTCTTTAGGTCCAATAGAATAGCTACTGAAGCAAATTAAAGGTGTTGCTTTTTCAGAAGAAAAGCTGCCAATAAGTGTTCTCTAAATCACTCGTACCAGCAGGCTGACCCCATTGTATCAGTTCATCCTGGAAATATAGGGGGCTAATTTAAATCTTTTCACATAAAACAGTCAACACTATAATTTATTTATTATTATTATTTTTTATTTTGTTCTGGCACAGCATGGGTTTATATTCCTGTCCATCTTTTGCCTCGCACTGTAACTTTCTGCGTAGTAGCAATGTCCAGAGGAAGAGATCAAAGTACAACTTCTCCCAAGGGACAAAGCGGGCAGAGCATATAGAAGGACAGTGCTTGTTTTTCACACAAAAAAGTAACAGAAAGACCACAGGCTGTGTGAAGGGATGGGGGAAGTAGGGTGTCAGGCACTGGGGCGAGTTAATACTGGTGCTCAGTGGATACATCAAGTTCTCTTTGCCTCTACTCCAGTCTACCATCTCAGTAGATGTACTATCCCCTCATCAACCGCACACCTACATGCTGCTGTGTTTCCTGCTTATGTTCACCCACCACACAATTACCTGTCCACGAAGCTCCACACCTACTGTGTCTCAATCCTCCGAACACCACGCTGAAGCTTTTAACCCTCTCCAAACACCTACACAGTGCTTTATAATAGTATTATTTAGCACACGGGAAGCTACATTAAATAATTATAGACAGTACTTCAAACACCGGATTATCAGGCCCTCACAGTGCTGAAGACTGCAAAAGATAAATCTACAAGCACAGTCATTCTCTGCCTATGAGTCATGTTTAAGTTCTGGTGTCCTCAGAGAACTGCAAGCCCCGTTTTCGTCCTAAGACTTGCCATATTAGATATGTTTTTAAAATCCCAAGTTTATATAAAATTACGTGAATTTGTGGAAGAACAGCTTGCAATATGGCCCACGTCTGTTCTAAACACTCACTAGTCTTACATGCAAATAGAATTGACGTATTTAAGCATCTAGGTTTCGCTTTTCCTCCTTCTTCCTCACAAAATGTTTGAGCTCTTTAATCCCTATCTCATATTTTTTTAACTTTGCTGCTGAGAGTACAATAACATTCACATACTGGACTCGACTGAAATGCACTTGCCTTCAGTCTGAAGGGTCATGTATCTCAATTACGTCTGTCCGCTGCTTACACTTCTTCAAAAGCACAAAGACCTTAAATTCCTTCCGAATGCTGAACTAAGGTTAACTAGAGCAAGACATTTATAATAAACATGGTAGAACAAAGTATAGAACTAGCCAGGGAGCTGACTGATCTCAATGCAGAAATTCAGACTTAAATATCCTTAACAATCTTGACTCCTATAACTTTTGTCTTGTGCAAAATGCCTCTAAAATATTATGGCAAACCCAGTATGAAAGTCTTAAATTTCTATTTATCTCTGCTGCCGATGTAGTAACAACTGGTCTAATCTACTCTAATCTACCACTTGAAGTTTATTTCATTATCATCTTTCAGCTTCATGCATGTCCTAAATGCAGAAGCAGCATTTTTCTTGAAGAATACACGGTGTGAGTACACATCCAAACTCATTCTTTTGCCCCTTTCAAATAATCCAACCTGACAGTTCAAGCAGCGGTGACAGAACGTGAGACTGAAAGACCATAACGATTTCTTGACTGGCGTACTGAACACAAGCTACGTTCGAGAACGGAGGATAAATATGCCAGTTCAACAGAAAATGTTAGAGCAAAGCTACAGAAAAAAAAGATGGGAATGGCAAATACTTACTAAAATCTGCCTGTACAAGGAGCACGCTGCTGGCATTCATTTTCCTTTTTCTTCATAACATTTAACAAATTATTTTTATGTGGTTCTAAGGATTCTTTGTAAGATGTCAAACACTTCAAAAACTACTTGAATCTAGCGTTTTATATGAAAATAAGAACTATTTACTCTCTCTGTTTGGCTAACTGTCAAAAACCAGTTTTATAAAAGAGTTTATAGGATGCTTGACAAAGTTAAGCATCTTCGTGGCAAAGATGGAATGATGATTTTATTTAGGGATAGAAAAAAAAGGTGTATTACACAAATCCAGGCACACGTAAACATAAAATAAGCATATATCAGAAATCAACATTTCTTCATATCAATCTGAAATACGAAAATACCCCCATAAAAAAAAGAACTGTAAATTCTTGTAACAAGGGTAAGTTGAAATGAAGAACAATTTCTAAACTGCACCACTGAAATAAAAATCATGTGTTAGTTTCAAATTTCTTTGGTCTAAACTTTCAGCAAGTATTCAAAATAAATATTGAGTACAGGGAAACAAAGAGTAACAAAACGAAGCAAACAAAGAATATCTCGTATTTTGTTTAAGCATTCCCAATCCTTCCAATTCCCAGGTTTGCATATGTGCAGGAGAACATGGCACAGCAACAAAACCATTAGTGTATCTTTGCTTTTCATACAACCATTTGGAACAAGTCAGAAAAAAATGTATCAAAAATTGCTCAGCCATTGACACTCTTGGCAGATTGGGTTAGTGCCCTGTATTTTACAGCCCCAGGAGGTTAGTATTTATTCATTTCTACGGCAATTTCTACTAATCAATCACTTCCTATTCTTTCTTCCTTCACTGTTTTTAAAACCACTAACTAGGATGTGCAGCCTTGTAGCAAGCATCTCAGTGATCATTTCCTTTTCGCCTCTCTGCCATTGTCTTTTTGTGCCAAGACTAATGCTTTTAATTCTACTTTTCACAGTTCAGGCTATATTGCCTTTATGAAACCTTTCAGCTCAACTGCTAAGCATATAACAAAGCCCTTCAGATTACTTGTGGTCATACTAGTTCATGTTTTGAGAATACTACAAAGGCATATTTTTCATGGGAGGAGAGCCTCCGAATGAATACCCTTCTCCAAGTGCGATATGAAAGCTCCAGTTCTTTTGTAAAATTTGCATTGAGGTTTAAGTCCCACATGCAAAGTGGCACCATACTGCCCAACAAACACAGGTTTCCTTTTAAAAAAGTGTGGGCTTGTTTTGGTTCTATTTGTAAGTTATTTTTTTGAAGAACGCATTAAAATGTGAGGGCTTTGTTCTTTGTGTTTCAGTTCTGACACAAGGAAGTAGTGAGCATCAGAATCTTGAGCTTCACAAGAATGAAACGGCTTGATTCACATAACTTCAGTGGCCTTTTAGTGCAGACTTATCTACAGTTTTTACAGAACAGCAGAGAAGCGAGCTGTTTTCCCTATAGACCCTTACTTTTTGTGTTAAATATATCAGGGGCACACTGGAAGTTGTAACATAGCTTTAAACCAGTGCTGATAAACTTGCATTGTATGGAACTTCAAAATGCCAGAGTAACATGAGTAAAGACAGGCAAGAATTTTATTAATTTTCAAAACACTGGAAAAGCTATTCGGGGTTGAGGAACATTTGCAAATCAAACTGAATCCAATGGGATTTGTGATCACTCATTGTTTCTTCAGTTCATTATTTATTATCTGTACTTTGGTAGCATCTGGAGGCCTTACTCTACAGGGGGCTGCACAAACATCGAAGAATAATGTGATCGCTCCCATAAAACAACTTTTTAACATGCAGTGAATTAATAATATCCCATCAAGGTCTTGCTTTAAATGCAAGATATTCCAAGTTTCAGGTTTAAAAGGTTACATTTCTTTCTAGCATATTCTATTTGTATAGAAATATATGCCTACATCTATCTCCTTCTCATCAATTACTTACAAAGCCTAGCTAATAATGAATGCAGAGATATGAAAAACAGAATTAAACCAGAAAGACCTGAACTCAGCATCATCTACCATTAACCCTGTATGCTTTGTGACTCTTTAATGCCTCTGAAAAATTTAATTCATATGTGATTGCCAATGCAAAATAAAGTTATAAACTAGAACAGGATAAAGGCGAGAAAGTTGAGCAGGAAAAATTTAGACACAAAATACATTTCCGAGGGATACAAACTGTCCATTTTAGTGAACATGGAAACTTTGATACAGTTGAATATGAAGAATACAAAATCAATTTTTTTTGTAAGTAAGTGAAATACTAATGCTACAGTGTGGAAGAGTGTGGGAATCCAGAAAATCAGTATCTTAATACAGATGAGACTTTAAAACTCGGACACTTTCATTTGTGTCACATGGAGATTCTCCTCCTGTAAAGACAAAAATAGAGGCCAAGCTGATCTATCCCTAACCTAATTTTTCATTTAAACTACAAGTAGATTTTATAAACCCAGATTCTAAGTTGACCTAAGAATGTTTTCAGCTTACATTTCCTGTTGCCTCTTTCCTGCCTTGACTTTGCAGTTGTCTCCTACCCAAGTTCAACTTTCTAAGAGCTGCATATATTGCCTTAAATCCAGAATCAAAGATGCACCATGAAGAGCCTAACTGGAGTCTCAAAGAAAATTGCTACAGTCACTGGGCCAAAAGCACATCACGACCTTGATCCCAGTTCACGAAAGCACTTGATTCAAGAGCTGCTGTCTTTGTCCAGCTTCTTCACCGTGTAGTTTGTAGCACCACATACTCTCTAATATCCAGACCTACTCAGCCAAAAAACCTCTTAAATTTACTGCCAACAACATAAGAAAGAAGGCAGCAGGACATGCTAGCTGACATTAAGAGTTCCCTCTGAATTTGTATTACTCAGGGGACTAATTTAATCTGACATATTTTGGCAGGGTTTGGAGAGTGCCACATTCATATCCAAACCTGCGATAACAAATTAAATACTAGGCCCTGTTTCTGAGCCAGAGAGGCAATAAAGTCCATTTTGAAATATGCGTGTTTCCGATTCAAAATGTGTGTCTGATATTTTACCATATATCCACCTTGTAACTACAACATGGGAATAAACAGATACTCCAATTTAAGCAGGCATTTATTTATGCAGCAGCTCTGAATATATATCCATTAAAAACCTTAATTTATGCACTGCACCAAGTACAAGACTCTTACCTGCAGGTTTGCACATGCTGGTGAATCGTTGTGGGTGGGTATTTCATTGTTGGTGGTCTCTGAACCTGTGTTTTTAAGTCTGGAAGCTGTTGTAGTTGTGGCTGTAGTGGTCTGTACTGGTAGGATTGGCTGCCACACATTCACATCAGTACCATTGCCAAAGGCCTGAATTGCATTTTCTGTAAAAATAAATTACAGGCAATTTTCTATTTCTAAACGAATGGCAGAAAAAAAGAACTGACTTTTTATATTATTATTCCATTGAAAAACGTGTATTTATAGAAACTTAATTTTTATGCTGAAGAATGTGTCTTAATTTTGAACATATCAAAACCAAACTGAGAGTCTGGGGTCACATAATTATCTGGTGCAAACTCTTCCTTGTAGTGTTCCCAGTAATTCTTGACAGAAGCTCTAGGACTTACTGTAATCATATTTGTTACCATCCAAAAGCCTCAAAAATTTACTTTCAAGATTTAAAATATAGCTTGAATGCTACAGCCTAAGTCAGGCAGGTGATATTACACAGCAAATTAAAAACAGAGAGCAGGCAAAATATTAGTTTATTTCTACAGCTTGCTGTAGTAAAACTAATATGCCTACAACTACGGAATTGTTTAAGACAATCTTTTCCTTACAGTTTTCAATCAAAATCTGCATAATTAGGTGAGGGAAGCATGCCTGAACTAAAACTTTAGAATATAAAAGTTAAAAAGCTTATCACAGTTTCAAGGGATTAAAGAGTGTGTTTATGGCAAGAGTAAATTGGTTGGAGTTTTTTATAAACAAATAGAAAAAAAAAAATTTAATCAGTTCTTTGGGGATTCAACATGGATTTAGGGATTTCTCATTCCAGATTCTTTGTACAAGAAATCAAACAATTTCACTGGGGACTAATATGCAGAAGTCATTAATACTTCTTCTCTGTGGTATTCCTTGCCTTATAAGAACTAAATGTAAATTATTTTATGAAAAAAATATGTCTTTTATTGTGGTATTCGTTCTTAGAACTCCAACATGAAAAGGGAAGAATTTGTAAAAGGCATCACAATCATCTGGGTTGATGGAGTCAAAGTGGGAAGAATGGAACAGTATTTCCCTGAATAGGGTGTATTAGCTGGGTCTAACACTGTAAAAATTGATCCGTGGTGGACCATCTTCATCAAGATAAAAAGCATGTATGTACTTGTATTAGATGGGTATAACACTGGAATTGGCCCGTGGTGGACCACCCTGATTATCTGGAGTGAGTGTGCATGGCGGGGAACCAGCAGGGCCAGTCCTCCTGGCTCAGGCTGGCCCCCTGCGTCAGGACGAATGTGTGCCGGAAAAAGGAAGCCAACAAGGCCACTCCTCCTGATGCAGGCTGACCCCTGTGTCGGGATGAGTTGGCACTTTTTGGGATATAAAAGGCCTGGGATTAGAGAGAGCTAGGGAAGGAGGCGGATCCAACTACCTTTTATGGTTGACCTTACCTCCGTGGGGATGCCTGCAAAAGTATGTGCCTGCCACCCCGTTTCTACGCAATGCACCTCAGAGCTGGCCTCCTGGTCACTGGATAAGTGTGTGGGTTGGTAAGAATCTGTGACTAATCTATTCTTTGGTAGCCTTTAGTTATCTCTCCTTCCCGCTTGGTATATCTCTGGATTTTACATCTATTTTAGATCTTGTAATAAACTTCCTAGCAGTTTGGTGTATACGTGTGGCTTATGTTCCTTCTCCATCCAGAATCCTTCGATCCCTGGAACATCGGGCAATATAAAAAGCAATATTTTTCCTGTGATTTGCTAAATTAACACTAACTCTGTTTCCATTATTGCAGGAGGGATCACAGAAATATATGTAATCCTCCCAGTTTTGTAAGGAAAAGTGGTCTTTACAATTAGTCGTCTTTAATTATTTCATAGAATCATACTTGATGGTATTTATAGGTCTGTCCCATCTTTCTTACAAGCCCCCTTTAAGTGGTGAAAGGCACCAGTAAGGTCTCCCTGGAACCTTCTTTCAGGCTGAACCACCCCAACTCTCTCAGCCTTTCCTCATAGAAGTGTTCCATCCCTTCTCACATTTGCTATTTCAAACATATAAATCATATTTGAAATATGTATTTTTATACATATTTCAAGTATGTTTCAAAAAACATGAGTGTGAGGAGGTGTCTAACTGCTCCAGCAGTTCAAGTGTCTAAATGCTCTAGCAAAGGTCCCTTCAATAATTTCTATTAACTAACTCACTGCTTCATACTTTTCCTCCCACTTGCCGATTCTTTTTGCTGCAGTACAAGGCAGATGTGAACAAATCCTTTGAACAGACAGGTATATATATACTTAATCCAATTCAGTTCAGTAGGAATTCTAGAGTATGTAAATTAATGTCATGACATTCACTTTCAGAACAGCTAAAATGAAGTCTTAAGATGGATTTCCAGAATTTAAGATTGGCCAAACCCTAACTGGAGAGGCAGCAATTAGGACCACTGTAATATTACCAATAAACTGACAATCCATTGAAGAGAATAAAAGTACAAGCAAGGTAATACACAGTCACAAATCTTAGGGTGGAATATATCTTACTTGGAGTCTATTAATTTGGATTTTTTAGCTTTCTTGAGATTGGGCCAATTTCACAGTTCTGATATAAACCCATATTCTGCAGGACAATTTTGAGTTAAAGAAACACTTTATCTAATACATGTAAAGAGAAAACAAAGCAATGTTTGTCCTTATTGGAACTAATTACTAAAACAGACTGGAATTCTCACTTGTATTTTCACTCCCACCTTCTGAAATTAAAACTTCCACTCTTGTTTTCAACTTGTTGCAAAAAGCTGTTCAAGTCTACAGTGGAACTTATAGGCAAGTCCATACAGAGATGCAAGAAAGACCAGGATTTCAGGTGTGTATGTGGGCCATCGTAAACTCAGCATCATATCCCAGCTCCACACCAGGCACAGTATGAATGTGACCCTAGATCTCCTGCTTCCTGAGTCGCCTAGACCTCAGGGTACAGCCTCTCCTGTTCCACTTTGCATAAATAACCAAATGGGGTTTCGAATAAACATTTATGCTAGGTTTTTCACATCTTCCGTACATGTCCCAAATCACTGGTTTATTTTCTATTTTGAAGGGGAAGTACACTTAAGCAAAACAGACTAGCAAGAAATTCCTAGTTTTATTATTTGTAAGAAAACAATTTTTGTTTCATCTAAAAAAAACTGGGAGGGATTTAAATCTCATCCAATAAACAAATGACATTTTCTCCAAGCACTGGAAGGCCCATTAATGACAATGACAATTAAGAAAAAATAAATAATTGGAACTTTTCCCATTATCTGTAAGCTACAAAAATTTGTATTAAACCAGAAACATCTTTAATTTCTTCCCGAAGAAGACATCTCTTACAGCTGGGATGACTATAATTTGTCTCACAGTAACCTCTAATGTCTTCGATTTGTCTTCATTAATGCTTTTATACCAATACCAAAAGAAAGGACAAGGGACCGCTCTGTCTTTATGTTCTAAAAGGAACCTGTAACATTTCAGCAATTAATACATTCACAAATGAATAAAATCTGATATATTACAATATAGATATAAATGGCAGCCCCACTAGGTTTGAAGGTCTGATGCTCTATTCTTAATTTTTACCCAGTCACAGTCTGAACTGTTTTCTGGGATTTCTTGTTAAATGATCTTGAGTAACTGGTTCATTCTTCCAAAGCTTAATAAATAGTGTATCAAACAGCAACTTAAGACACTCACTCTTTGTATGCAAAGCTCCCCATGTCTTCACAACAGTGCTGCCTGTTGAGAAGCTACCGATGGAGATTTTCAGGTCCCATACTAAAATACAGACTGTACCTTGCTTGCATTAGCAGCATTAGCTCAAGTATGTAGGGCTGGATGGGACAGTCTGGATCATCAAGTTCATTTCCTATTATTAAAAGCAATGATGTATGCTTCTTTTCATAAGCTGATGAAATATGACTTTTAAAACCAGTTAAGAATTTTTTACCCTCAAAAATCCTGCTGGAAGCCAATTCCTTAACTTTAGTCTGATGGTTAATAATTTTTCAATTTTGAGCCTAAATATGTATGGCCAATGTCTTCCTTTCTGATCCCGTGCCAACATTGTCCTCTAGGTTAAGTAATTCTATTCCCTCCCTGGGCTTGCCCCTCTAATGCAATTGCAGAGGACAATCACGTATCCTTTCAACTTCTGTTCTGCTAGGCTAGGGAAGCCAAGCTCTTTTGGTCTCCTCATTTATCTGGAATTAAAACTCTGATGCACACTCCACATCATCCAATTATGCTGCTCCAGGCAGACAGGAAATTTGAAAAGAGAACCTGCCAAAATCGACTCCACTGAGCCATTCTGAAATTTATAATAGTCCCTAATTTGGAAGTGAGCTTGACTGAAGAAAAAAAAAATCAATAACTTAACAAAATCTTTACAATAGGTACCATCCAGACTCGTGTTATAACCAGGCACCTGAGATCAAGTAGCCTAAAAAACGTAAAGCTTGGCTATAAATTGCAAGCACAATCCAATTTATACTTACCTACAGCAAATCCTTCATATCATAAACTACACGTCTTTTTTATATGAAGCTCTTAAATTATACAGAAGCTCCTCAGGTGTTGCAATCTTTTGGTACAGATTGCCTGCCTGTTAGGGTCCAAATACGATCTGTGATGTAAACATATTTCTCTATGATAGCACTTTGTTATTTGGATTTTTTTCCAAGAGCTCCTCATGTTTGCAATCTTGGCCATAAACTATAGTATCAGGCATATTTGCTTGTTTGTTTAATTCTTACACCTACAGCAGAAGCATGCTTCCAAAGTGCAAAGAGATGGCCTTGATGTACCGTAACATACTCGAACATTAAGAAACATCCTAAACCACATTTAAAGACATCTCATTTTGTACTCACTAAGGCATGTATTGTCCTGGAAGAAATTCAGGAATTTCAGGCATTCATCTATGTCATTACCACTGTTGTTGCAGTCGCACCATGGGGCAACGCTGAGACTATTTGAGTCTATGTAGTTTGGTGTCATCACTGTGCCTAGTAACAAAGAGTGAAGAACAGTACTGTGAGCAATTTCACACTAAAATCTTCTTTCAAGAAGACAGCAAACAGCACTTGGTATAAGTCATGTACCCAGAGCTGGATTCACAGTGCAGGGCTCTAACTTCCAGACGTAACAGTTTCTGGCTTCTTTTGCTCTTCGACGCCCAGCCCCGTGCCATACTTCATACCCTCTGTTGTTTGAATGTAACATGTAACATGATTCTCACATTAAAGACCCATTCCTTTCCTCCAAAAAGGATTATATTGCATTCCCACAGAGAGCTGCATCAGCAGAACTGGCATGTGGAAAACCATGGCACAGGAGAAGGATGGACTGGGGAAAGGTGGAAACTTCTTAAAAGGGCTTTGCTGCCACATCAAACATGTGTGGACCTGCATACTTAGAGCTGCACTCTAAAAATCCAGTTTTTATTCCTCGCTTGTGTTCTTTTCCCATTTTGGTTCTTGCTGCAAATAAATGGCTGAAACCATCACTGTTAATCTTGCTGTGTCACTATTTTTTCAGTACGCTATTTCTTAAACATTGCCAACAATTTGCAACCACAGGTTCATTCTAACTCTATTACAAATTCTTGGGCAAATATTCTCACATTTATATGTCAACTCAAGGCTACCAAGAATGTAATGAAACCAAAGAATGCATTTTGTGTCCTAAAAGATGTATAGCAACTGTTCATCACCCATCTGGATCAGGCAACTGTTATATGATCAGCACTTACTCAAACCAGTAGTCTCACTGAAGGCATCGCCCCAGCAGGTCAGAGATTTCAAACTTCCCCAATGATTGAGAAATTTGAACCTTTATTTTATTTGTCCAAAACCAGGAAAAATTAAATAAAAAGGGGCAGATATTCCAGACTGGTACCAGTGACAGCTGCTTCAGGAAACACGTTCCTCACTTGGTAATCTATAGTTCTAGGACAGGCTATATATCATGAGGAAATGTGATCACATCTCCTCCAAACTGACACCAAAGTAGTCATTAAGAAGATGGAGTAGATGAAGTATAAATATTAGAGACCCGAAGTGTACACTAGCAGAGAAAATTTGTTCTATTGGTCCATAGGTCCAGGGTCCAAGAGCCTGCAATAACACACGGGAAAGGGCTATCAAACATCAAGCTTAAAAAAGGAATATCAGAAATAACACTAATCACAGGATGATGTCAAATAGTCTTTCAGTCACCAGGCAGTGCTGGGAACTGAACAAATCAGCAAACTGCTTCATGCATGACCTGGGAGACAAAGGAGAACAGACATTAGGGGCTGGCCTGAGAAAGGCAGAAATGTATGTGAAAATGAGTGCAGTTCCACTGCCAAACTCACAAAAAGCATCGTTTGTCTTGGTTTGGGATGCTCTTCAATTAGAATGCAATCCCATACCTTTATCTACTTCCAGCTTTTAGCAGATAGTTGCAGTAATAATTACTCAAATTCTACGTGACATTAGCACATGAGTAAATAGTACAGTACAAAACTTACTAAATGGAGGTAGTGAACTTAGCAAATAGGCAAATACCATTTGCACCATTAATGAAAACTTGACCATAGATAAATAAGAAGAGGAATGATGTTAAATTAAAATAAAAAATACAGAAACATCTGTCTCTTATGTGCTTGATGGTTCAGTACGCTACTTCAACCATGATCTGAAAGGAAGTGAGAGGAAACAAAATTCAAGAGGATTTTGCAAATGGAAAGAAAACAGTAGGCTTCAGTAAAAAAGCCCCAAGTAGCAAATGCTTAGTAAAGGGTTAAAAACCCAAACAAGTATTAAGGAAATTAGGTCACTGAGGTAAGACTTTCTTATCACAAAGTGGTAACAAGGTAATTAAATGGGTCAAGACAGTGGCTAAAAGTGTAACAGATACCAAAGTACGATTAGGGTTGATGAATGCAGGAAAGACAGGACAAGGAATGTGTTTACACAGCACACAAACTGTACATCCAGCAAAAACAGAGTGGCTGAAAGAGCAGCTAGTAGAAAATCAGTCTGTCATTTAAACCTGGGGGCAGATGTGAACTCAAGCGGATTATGTGCTTGGTTTCCTGGGGTGGATTTCATTTTTTCCCCTGCAATGCATGTGCCTCCCTCCTCCACTCCCCCCCCCGCTAGCTGGCATCTTGGAAATTCTGCTGAAGGACACTAACAGATCAGAAAAACCATGGTGGTTAGCAGTAAAATAGGGCATGCTGGGTTTTCTGTGTTCTAGGGACCAAAAAGCTCTGTGATCGTCTCAGCAGCAAGCAGGCAGGACTCCGTGTTTTAGACAAAAGCAGAATAGACCTGAACACAGCCAGGAAGTTCCTTAAATTAGGGTCAGTTAAGAATGAGGAGATGGAAGGTGAGTCCAGGAGGAGAGGAGTGTGACCAAAACTCCTTTGGGCCAAAGCAACTGAAGTTTGTTCACATGAACTCTCATGGAATTTCTGGGAATCCCAGGGAAATTAGATGGATTTTAGTGAAGACAAGGGGAAACACGTCAGAAAGTGAATGCTAAAGTAGATCCTGAAGTCAGGAGTTAAAGCAGTATCTAACTGATGGAGTGCAGAGAGGTCCAGGTGGCCTGAGTAGGCTGTAACTGAAGCACCGAATCTCAAGTCTTATCTTCAGTCTTATTCTACATTTATTAATTTTTACATTTTTCCTTTAATTTTTAATATTAATTTATCTCTATTACTATAAAAAGGAGCCCAAAGTGATGAATTAAACTTTTCAAAGTTCCTGTAAAACATATGAATCTTTCAAATTAGATCTATGACACACTGATGCAAACCTTAAAGCACCCTGTACAGACAGTTATCCATTTAACTGGTAAAGCACCTCATACAAAAACTGTGCCTGACTATTTCCACTGAAGTTACTCATTTCAGGTGAAATTCCACTGATTTCAGGGAGTTAACTCTGATTTAAATCACTGTATGTGACAGCAGAATCACATTCACTGTACCTTCCATAGGGAATCCTCAATTTCCTGAACAAACTCTATGGAGGTGTAATTTTTTGCTACATTTAATGAAATGGCTAATTGAAATAATATTTTATTTTAATGAACAATATTTTATCTTAATTAAAACACCTGGAGATCCTTAAGCTCTGATGAATGAATGGCTTTGTAACAGCTTCTTACCCACAGTCTCTCTCTCTCTTCTTCCTGTGTTTTATGTACATATTAAGCGGACATTTGGACCTCTGTCTTCTATCTCAGCATGTTGCCAGTTTGATGATCTTCACATAATTTAGTCCACCTTTATATCAGGTTCATATCAGAAGCAGGAACTTACTGCTTCAGCACATGAAAGTTTTGGTACTTTGTTTTTCTTGGTTTATCAGAAAATTTATCCATTTTCTTGGTTTATCAGAATTACTACCCAGAAGTAAAGATTCCTGTAACAATAGTCACTTCCTATCTTTTTGCATTTATCTAAGGGCTAGCAGAAAGGAAGAAAAATGTTTATTTTTCCATTTGAAAATCAGATCTCCTTTTGATTTCAACTCCTTAGGGATCCATTGCACATCTCCGATGTGTGACAGTGCAGTGCTTTGCAGTACGGTCATCCACAGTAACACGAAACTATAGGAACTGGGTCATCCTTGGGGTTACAGTGAAAAATGGATCCAACAAAACTGTCAGCAAAATTCACTAGGTCCAGCAAGAACTACTTGGCAGCTCTTACCCAGAAGTATCTATCAGTAACAGTTACTCTTTGCCAGCAGCTAGACTTCTTAATCTCATTGACTAGATCAGATTTCAAGGCTATTGAATTCCTTGTTTTAGAGTCAAATGACATTCTGTCATAACTGTTCATATGTTATACCCTTTGCATACTGTCTTCATCTCTTAATTTGTAGAAGCACATCCTTTGAAACCATCACATCTGATTTTACCAGTTGCCACATGGACTTACCTCACTTGTTAGCTGCTAAAGTAATAAGAATGATAACAAGTGAACATAGCTTTCAGTCATTTTTCAGCAAACCCAACCTATTACAGCAATGGTTTGTGTATTATCTCCAGAGACACTTATTTAACAACAGGATCTGCTTTGGGGCCTCAGCTGGCACCTTCACACCCAACAGAAGGGGATATTACTATATCACAGCAGGTGCAGGCTGCAAGCTTAAAAACATCTTTTCTGGTGGCCTTTCAAATCTGTTTGTTTCAGAGTTCTGACATTCATTTATTCCTTATTGCCCAACCATGGTATTTCTACAAGAAGTTCACCTGCCTGAGATGATCTCTCTCAGGAATCAAATACTGCGAGTGTATATGGAATCTGGCTTGCATGAAGGTATCCTTGGGCTTGGTGACAGTCAGGAAGGTGGCAGCCAACAAGAAGAATTATCTTGGGAAGGGAAGAGGATTTTAGAAGACTTCAGTTCACCATCATTGACAGGCATCTCAGAAAACATTCAGAGTAGACAGAAGGACATGGAAGAAAGAATAGTAACTGGAAGTGAAACAAGGCAGGTTGGTCTATTATCTCATTCCTCAAATGTCCTGCAACCTTTCCCTGAAGACCAAGAGGTATTTACCCAACCTTGCGATGATACCTGCAAAATCAACCAAGCTGTAGTTTCATTTGTTCTTCCTAACTTCCTGCTTCATGGTCCTGTCCTAATTCAACCACACGAATAAGCTTTACTTTGTAAGCTTGAATTTGTATCAAATTCAAGCACCTTTCTCTCTTTATCTTCTTCCCTTAATTTCCTTGCAACGTACAAATTTACCCAGGAATCTCCATAAGGTTAAAGAGGGTCAACAGACTTAGGTGGAGAATTTTGCCTAGTGTCATACTGCACAGCATTGTATTCCACAGTTTTTATTCCCTGTATGCCTTCAGAATATACTTTTGGTGTGTTTCTTTGACCAAGCAACAGCACACTCCCCTCCCCTTCCTTCTTGCCTTCTTACCAATAAGCCCCGAGTAAGCAAGGAGGCAGTCAGCATAGTTCTCCTTCAGACAGCTACTAACAGACCGTGACTCAGGCTGGCAGTTCGTGAAGAAATCTGCAAGGCGAGATCTGCAACGTGAAGAAAAAGGCATATCTTTAAAAATCAGGCCTGCAGGCACTCTTACCTTTTACACTCTCTTTATTTTTAGACAAAGCTTAATATTCTTTAACTTCAACATATATTGGACACATTTCAGCTGATGGGAGTCTTTTACTAAGACACATCTCTTTCCAGAATCCATTTTTGAAGTTAGGACAAAAAGTGCAGTAACAACAGGAAAATGTCAGGCCTTTCCTAAAAGAAATGCTCTGCATTTTCATGCCAGGAAGAGAAAAAGACAACAAGGAATGATTTTATCATCTGAGCAGTCATTTTGCCTGGATCTGAACTCTAACTGGAATCTGTTATTCTACAGACTCGGAACACAGTTTCTGCTGTTTTACGGATTACACAAACTGTATGTTTGTGCTCACAGAATCCTCTTACTATATGACTTTAGGCAGGACCTGCTTCGCTACTGCTTTTTCCAGGGAATAGGCTTACCCTTGCTTTGGACTGGCCTGCAGCTCCAGCTGGCTGAAGTGGGGCAGCAGGCAGATCTGGGTGTCATGGTCTCCACAGCCCTCCAGAGCCATGGTACTGAGAATCTACTTGCTCTTGCATAATGTGCATTTATCCAAAGTCTACGGTATTGAGCCCAGGGCTGAGAAGAATGGAACGTGTGCTCTGCATAGAGTTCTGCTGCTGAATGGCCATATTATCTTCACTCACCTCAGTTACCCTATGTCCAAAATGGGGAGAGCACTGCTTACTTACAGAATGTCCTTTAAGACTAGGAGTGAAGCTATATTGCAATTAACAGATTGCTACTGCACTGGAAAACAAACAAACAAAACGATAGCAACGAGGAACTCTTCTAGGTATTTCCACTTTAAAGGCCACATAATGCTGCCATTCCAGTCTGTAAAATTTAAGAGGCATCACTGAGGTGGGTCAAGGTCCTACATCCTACAGCTGCTCCCCTGACCATCTTGGTCTGCTCTCTTCAGCTCCACTAATGCTTTCACTTAGACTTGTAAACACAGAGCAGTGACTTTTGTTTATTTATGAAGTGTCATCCAGACCTTTATCTCCATGAACAAAATAATTTCACCTCCCTGCTTCAATCTCCTGTGAAAAAAGCCATGAAAATACTCATTTGCATGTAACAATTCACAGTCATCTTTCAGGATCAGGTGCATAATTGTTGCAAAGTCCTCTCAAAATCAGAATAGTATAACCTATGAACTTTCAGCACTGCTCCAGCATTATGTAGAGCTGCAATATAAATGCTCTTTTTTCAGTTCTGCAATGAAAACATGGAAGTAAGCAGAAACAAGTGATTTGCAAGTGATTTACTTTATTTGTTTACATGCTCCAGAGACTAATTATCTTTGCTTTCTTTATTGTTTCACCTATCTCAGAATGGGATTGGATGTACATCATTAATTGGCCTGAAAGTAGCAATGGGCAAACTTCAAAAGGTTCACAGGCTTAGCTTGAGAAAGCATCCTATAAATAGACTATATGCAACCTGTACCTGAATTTATCTGAGCTATTCTCCTGACCTCTTTTTAGTTTCATTCCTTGCTGACTGTACTGATACTAGCAAATCTACGGATGCCTTCAAACCACAATCATTTGTAAGCTTTTCATGCCCTCCCTTCCCTTATTTAACCATTTAACCTTGAGATGGACACCTGTACCCAGTTGCCTTTAATAGCTTTAAAAAGTCAAGCTTTCTACCGATCCTTTAAGATGCCCTATATGTAAACAGAAGTTTCTACTTTCACATAAAATCTCTGCTTTGCTGATGAATATATACTACTAGGGGACAGGCTGAGAAGAAATGAATTCCAAGGTATGGAAAGAGACAAACAGCAGCACCATGAAGAAAATCTGGAAACACTGTCACTGCAGAGATTCCTCTCTCAGTATATGATTACGGTAGTGGCTCAGATCCATCCCTCAAACCAACTGGGAACAAAGGCAGTTGGCTCTTTCTAAGGTTTTTACAAATTCTACTAATACCTGGATGAAGTCTGCTATGAGACAGAAGAGAGTCTATTACAGCTAGTATGAAAAACCTTTGTCATGGTAGAAAGAGCAAGCCTGCTGTATGTGCAGTAGTTTTGCATTTCTCAAACAACCTAGGTCTCAGATTTGAATTTCATTATTTATGAGTCATATGTCCAGCTCTGGGCCCCCCAGCATAAGAAGGGAGTGGTGGCAGGAGTACAGAGGAGCCCATGCAGATACTGAGAGGAATGGTGCACCTCTGCTCTGGAGACAGGCTGGGAGAGCTGGGCTGGTTCAGCTTGGAGAGGAGAAGGCTCTGGGGAGAGCTTAGAGCAGCTCCCAGTGCCTGAAGGGGCCAAACAGAAATCTGCAGAGGGACTTTATGCAAGGGCCTGTAGGGACAGGACAAGGGCAATGGCTTTAACCTGCCAGAGGGGAGATTGAGATGAGCTCTGAGGCAGAAGCTCTTCCCTGTGAGGGTGCTGAGGCGCTGGCACAGGGTGCCCAGAGAAGCTGTGGCTGCCCCATCCCTGGCAGTGTTCAAGGCCAGGTTGGACACAGGGGCTTGGAGCAAGCTGCTCTAGTGGAAGGTGTCCCTGCCCTTGGCAAAGGCTTCGAACTATAGATGACCTTTAAGGTCCCTTCCAATCCAAACCATTCTAGGATTCTGATTCTATGGAGGTATCTATCAGTATCTTGATAATCCTGAAAACATTTCTTGTCACCATTTCGTCATTCTTAAATGTTCCATTCTCCCTTAGGTCATTAGGTGCATTGGTGCAGAGATCATCCAATACAATCCTCTTGTTTAAACATTTTTAAGGACTGATAACTATGGAATAAAACCAGTCATTTACTACTCAGTCTGCTTAAGGAACTTGTTATAAACTCTAAAGGGGGCTAAAAATTGCTCTGCTGTTCTCTTCTGGATACAGCTTAATTTCTATGTTAATTTCTGAAAATTTTTTGTGGTCATAAAAAGTAATGATCTGACAATGTTGCACATTTAAGTTTTCATAAGCCAAATATAGTTCATATAGCTCTGGTTCAAGCACTACTGAACATCAGCATACACCTTCCCCCTAACGAGTCATCTAAGCTTCATACTGTTGAAGTTCTCACACTCTCCTTAGGTCTTAACTACACCTGAGATTTATATGGATTCTTTTCCACTGAAGATAAAGTTAAGGCCAGCAAATAAGAGCCCCCATCTGCCATAAAATATCTCCATTATTTTCAGCAATGATCTGCTGATTAACACTCATTGAAGATCCAGCTCCGAACATTTCCAGTAGACTGGCACTGACGAAAGTGTGCTCATCAGCAATAACAAAACAGTGGTACTCCTATCTACCTGGAGAGATAAATTCGCCTAATTAGCAACTATAAAATCATTTATCCTAACGAATTACACAGGATATTAAGAATTGTTCTTGTAAAAGAGAATCCTTTTAGGAATGCTGAGAAAGAGCTATCAGATGATAGGAGTCCTGCAAAAGACACTGTTAACACTGTGTTAAGTGTTCCTTCAGCAGAAAGTAGCTTGTAGGTTGTAACTTGTGTAGTCTAACCCATGACTGAGTAATATGGTAATCTAGTGAACAAACAGATCTTGCAACGTGTGCAGTGTACATATGTGTACCTGTTTGCTAGATGGTTGAATAGAGGGAGACAGGCAGTTTTATACTGTACATAACATGTAGCAGAACCACATTTAAAAGGAACTATTAATTTCTTTTTCTGTTGAAGAATCACAAATCCTCTTTGTTCCCAGCAGCATTAATGATTTTTTCCTTTCCCTTGCATAAAAAGAAACGGAACTGAAGAGAACCACCAGAAACCATCTTCTTAGGAAAGAAAAAGAAAAAAATGTTCTCTTTGTAGGGCAAAACCTCCCCAAATTAAATTAGTCCTATCTTAGCCCTGTAAAATCTCAACAAAGTGAACTGCAGTTCTTCTGTATAAAAATACTTTAAGTATTTTGTATACCAGTAACTGGAAAAAAAAAAAGAATAATCCTATTGGCAAATTCAAAGAAAATCCACTCAAACAACAAGCACTTTCCGAGAAGAGAAAAAAATCCCAGAGCTGCTATTCCCTAATCTTTGTATTAGCACCAGTAAAATCATTTGTAACAGTTAAAATACAAAGAAAACAAAGTTAACTTGTTTTCCTTATGATAGTGGTTCTTCAAATACTCAGCAGGATAAATCAAAACTTTCAAATTTTGCTTACAAATAAGCTTTGTTAATAGCAGTATTGTGTTTAATCTGCATATAATTTTTGAGGCAATTTAATTTTATATTAGCACAGCCTGTTGTGTTGGCAACATTCATTAGGTTTTCACTATATATTATTCTCAGGGTTTTGTAAAATGTCTTTGATGTTCTGAAGTTATCTTTGATATTTATCAGTTCTCCCTCTTCAAAGATGGTAACTCAGCATCAGTCCTGGTACAGTATTTAAAAGCATGATATAAATGATGAAGTTGCAGAACATGTCTAAAACTGCATTTTTAGTGTGGATCTGGTGTAAAAGTGGACTACAGGAAAGCAACTCTATGAACCAAGCGTGGGTCCTCCCCAGGATGTACCCCTATGGCTGGGCTAGCAGATGTTGATGTCTCCTCCTGTTTTACGCATCCTCAATTGCTGGTACAAGGGGCTGAGCCTTGAGAGAAATCTTCTCTCTTAGCTTTGCCTTTGCATTGGTGATCTCCAGAGCAAGACAGACATTGAATCTGGATCTCCCACTGACTGCACATATGTACCCTGTGATGTCCGAGCAAGCGGTTACAACTCCTTGCCCTGTTAGTGAATGCAGGGAGCAACGGCTGCTCTCCTCTGCCCTCACCTTATAGAATCATAGAACAGTTAGGGCTGGAAAGAACCTTAAGATCATCTAGTTCCACTCACGCCACGTTGGTGATTTTAGGTGTAGTCTGGGCATGCTCCCTGCCACCTCTCTTTACATTGCTGCTTGTGTTTAGGTACCTATTTATGGCTCAACAGCACTATCATAAAGAGTACATAAATGCCAAAGCTGAGTGACTGGGGTGACTACGCTAATTAGTCAAAGCTGCTCTAGTGTCTAGACACCATTTGGCAGACACAGTACAGTCACGTAAGGGAAGTGCTGCATCAATATTCAAACCAGAAAAGAAGTATAAATCTGACACTAAAAAAATTCAGGCTAAGTCAATGAACGTGTGTCACAGTGATAAATGACACCATTACAGAAAAAACCCATGCCAAAATGCTTGTTCTTCTTTTGTGGGGGTCAAATGCAGTACCCTCCTCCATAGCTACAAATAACTTCTTTATAGCTTGGGTGGTACTATTTTTGCTTGGGTACAATAATGGCAGGAGGGGTTGGTATGTGGACAAACTAATGGCTTCATTGCTGGAGGAGCTTTTAATTTTCTCTTGGTTTCATAAACACAAAGTGAGTGGGCAGTGAGAAAACAAGACAAAGGCTATATAAGAAACTCTATCAACCAGTGAGCCAAAAAAAGCCTCAGAACAGCTCTATCACAGGAGAGGTGACCCTCCCAAAATCTAGTAATATGGATTTGACTCGGTTTTTTTCCATTAGAAGACACAAGGGCTGTGTAATACTAATACATCTCATATCTCCTTAGTTATGTACATGCATTACTGAGCACCTATAAATTTTGACAGCTTTTTAAATGTTCTTTTTTACATATACTTATCCAAGAGCAATTCCATAAATTTTCTTTCAGCAAAAAGGTTAGTTTTTCTTTCTCAAACAGTGAGAGTGGCTGGGTACTGAGGGCACTAACATCCCTGCACGCCCCTGGGGCTTCCCTTAGCCAGCCTATGGCCCAGGACCCCATTCCAGCATCCCATGCCTCAGACTCTGCCCCAGCAATGCTGTAGGACCTCATTCTCCAGCTTCCTACAACCCTGCCTGCCCAGGCACAGGCCCTACTGAGCCAGGTCTACCCATGGGTCGATGTCCCATCCTGTCCCCATGGAGGTGCCTGATTCCTGGGGCTGCCCCGCTCCCTGGCTAGGGTGATGGGCTGAGCCCTGCCTGTCCCAGGGGTCCCCATGGACCATGCTGCACCCTGACACACAGCTCAGCATTTGTGCCTTTGGGAAGTGGGAAGGAAGGGTAAAAAAAGCAAAGATCTGATGGCAGGACCATTTGGCTCCTAAGACCTGTATGTTGAAAGCAGTTTCTCTCACGTGAGCTGATCCAAATCTTTTGCAACACTGGCAGAAACCATTACAGGATCTTGGACCTCAAATCCTACCTACTAACCAAAAGAAGCTGGTTTTATCTCGGTTTACTTTTGTTTTGTTATATTTTAAATAACTGGCTGCCTAAGCCCAAGCAAATATTTGTTTCTGGATTCAATTTATTTCTAAAAATTGTGTTGTTCATCTGGAAGTAAAATACAGACAATCCCCAATTATACAGAGGCAGCCTATCTGCGCTGTGGAATAACTGGATACAGAAACAAATACCAGACACCACACAATGTTCATTCAGATGTCTTGTAGCATCACAAATGCTTGCTCAGAGCATCAGGCACAGAATGC